AAGGGAGGGGTGAGGGGAGGAGGGGTGAAGGGAGGAGGAGGAGGAGGGAGGAGATCAACAGTAGCACTGCTCTTTGAAGAGCATGAGTATCCACTTCTCCCTTCCTTGAAGGCACAGAACCACGTTACTAATCACATCTAAAGTGCTCAGATGACCATGCATTTTACTAGTCATGGACCTTAGACCTAGCTTTCAAGCCTAGGTTTGTGTATGTATGTATGTATGTATGTATGTATATGTATATGTATGTGTATGTGTATGTGTATGTGTATGTGTATGTGTATGTGTATGTATATGTATATGTATATGTATGTATATGTATATGTATGTATATGTATATGTATATATATTTAAATTTAAAACATTAAAAAGTTGTTATCATGGGGGTGGGGCTCATGTGCCACGGCACAGATGTAGGTCAGACAGGGCATCTGTGGAGTGGGTTGTCTCCTGTCACCCTTGCCGGGGGCTCTGGAGTTCAAACTCAGGCCACTAGGCTCACATCTTTACCCGTGGAACCATGTCACCCTCCCCTGGCTCAGACCACTCCCCCTTAGATTTCCACAAAGCCTCACAGCTGGTGAGAAAAACCACCATTTTCAGGAAAGTCAAAGAGCTCTGTGCTCCCTGAATGGATCTTCCTCTCCTCCCCTGAGCTGAGCCCTCACTGGCCATTCGTGGAGCTGTTGGGGCTTTGGTGGTATCCATGGTAGCAATGTGCTATTGTAAAAATGACATACCTATTCCTCTTGGGAGAGAAGATATCTTGTTGTGTTTCTGATATAGCGCCTTGAATTCTTGAAGGAAAAAGAAAATCAGAAAGGCTTGTCAATGTGGGCATGCAGGTATGGGAGTTGAAATTCTAAATCCTAAGGATGGCTTAGGAAAGGTAGGGAGAGGCAGCCTTTAAAACTCTGCTCATGGCTCCCCTGAGCTTTGCTGCCTTGCTTGGTTGTTGAGGCAAGGTCTCAATACTAAGTAGTCTTGGCAGTCCTCAAATGAGTCATCTTCCTGCCCCAGCCTCTGGACCAATTCTCCCTATTTCACCTTTGAAGAACCATTTCTAAATGGGGCCGATCAGCCACATACAGGCTCACATTGACCTCCCCCATATTTATGCATTCAGCCTTTCTTGTGCATTTGGAGCAGGGGCTGCTTGCTATTTTCTGAAACTGACTCGGTAGCTCAGGGATGAGCCTCTATGCTGAGCATAGACTAACTTCAGGGACACCCGGAACTATGACAGAGTGAAAACATGCCTGCCAGTCCACCTCCGATGCCCTGCGGTCATAGTGGGGTTTGCGGTCCCCCAACCTCCTTAGAATGCCCTGGTTTTCCATGGTGATTCTTACTAGGTCTCGGTTCCTTGCTTCTCTGTTTAAGCTGAAAAACACAAAACCAGGGTGGGTGAAGAAGAAACCTTTCTCCTCGATGGGATGAAAGAAGAGAGGAAAGCCTACACGAAGCATTTGCAGGTTTCCATCAGTAGTCCTTAGCCCCATTGCCGGCTGGAGGTCTAATTTGTTGATACTGGGTAGAGCTTGGTCTCGGTGTGGAGCTAGATTACACTCTTGACTCTAAATGACTCCATGTTGCCTGGGCCTTGCCCTGAGACTTCATTAGCAGCTCTTGACACTATTTTGAGGATAGATAATGAGGCTGCACCTCATCTTCGACCAGCACTATCTGTCCAGTGCCATCCACACATCACAGACTGCTAATCTACTTATTCTGGAGAAGAGAGGGTTCTATCCTATACATTTATAGAGGTTAATTGGAATTGTGGGAGTGTATGGGTATGTTAAAACCTCAAGAACCAGACTGAGGAAAGGATGTAACTCTCTCACCTGGACCCCACAAAGAAGTTGACAACTTCTTGTTTTAGATGCTGATGGTCCCAGTTACCTGTCATCTGACCAGATATGTGGGCCAAGGGACAAGCTGAGAAGCCCTGACCATTCCAGGGGCATCAGGACAGCTCAATTGCCTCTGTTGACACTTGAGTTATATCAGTTTTTTCCTGTTCACCTATCTGGACCTGAAATCCACCTGTCCACCTGTTTGTTCAACTAGAGCAGGTCTGACCTTTTTGCCTCAGATGCTGGACTCAACTGTGCAGTTCAACCTGACCCTGCTACCTGACTCTTCCTCCAAACCCCAGCAGACTCTCCATCTGGGTCATCGCATCAAGACAGACGAGATAATCTTGTCAATTTCCCAGCTTTGTCCTCTCAGGCCTCTGAAATGCCTGAATGGCTTTCTTTAAGTTTTGGTCATCATTCAGTAACCCTCATATACACACATAAAGAGACATTTACTGTATGGGCATGTAATGCACAACCTAAGCGTTAACATAGTAAATAAGATAGGAATAAAAACCCCTGTTTATCTCAGCCAGGGTGATTCAAAAACAAAGTGGCAGCATTTGGCAAACTGCTCCCAACAATAGCTCAGAGCTTGTGAATTTATTGTTTGATAAATCCAGATGTGTGGAAAGTCACAAATGTGTTCGTCTATGTTCCTGACAAAACACTCATGACCTCAGCATGTTGTTAACATTTCCCAAGGATTATAATGTGAAACCAGGATTGGAAACTTGGTCTATGTAAGCGTGGAAGGATCCTTGTGGATAAGGCATGCATGTCTGGAGTCAAGTTTTGGTGCAGTTTCCCGACCCTTGGCTTTCAATTCTGTTTGAGATCTCCTGGTAGATACAGGGTCTCTCCCTTCCTCCCTTCTTCCTCTGTACATACTTTCTGCCATTCCCTAGTGTACACTCTCCTAGCCCTTACCACACTGCTTTAGCATTTTTTTTCTTCAAATGTTATATCTTAGATTACAAGTGTTTGGGGTTGGGAAATAATGTTCCTCATTCTATCTCTCTATTGCTGGAGGCACCTAGCATATAGTACTTATCTAGCTTGTAGTACTTAAGTCAAGGTTTTTTGTGGAACTGATTGTTGGAGTGTCATAGCATAGTCTTGGGTTATGATGCTGAATTTGAATGTTTGTGGATTCCCCCTCTCCCCCGCCAAATACATATGCCTGACCACTAACTCTCAAAGTGATATATTAAGAGGTGAGGTTTTGGGGATGGGATTAGCACCCTCATAAAAGAAGTTGGGGGAGAGAATTTCCGCCCTTTCTGCCGTGAGGCTCCAGTGCAAAGATAGCCGTCTCTGAAGAAAGCAAGCAGGCCCTGCACCAAGGCCAACCCAGAATCCACTTGTGCCTCCTTCTATCTCTGGATTCCCCAGCCTCCAGAACAAAGGAAGAAACTGTTGCTCACTGCTTTGTACCTGAACCTCCACTACACATGGGCATTCTGCAAGGATACACAAGTGTGTGCTTGGGATAACCTCTGAAGAGAGCTAGGGGAACTCTAATAACAGCAGAGGTGGGATTTAACCCCGGTGAAGGTTCCTGTGTGTGTGAAGCTGTCAATCTTGGTAGCGTGGTTTCTTGTTTCTCTAGATAATAACAACCTATGAAGTGATCCCTTCTCACTTAAACCCAAAGGGAAGGCTGAGTTTCCTGAGAATGAAATGCAGAGAGAGAGAGAGAGAGAGAGAGAGAGAGAGAGCACTACCTTCTCGAAAGATACTCATTCCAGCAGTCCACCTTGGCAGGGCCTCGATGGGCGTTGGCGATTTTCTGACATAGTTGTTTATTTTCATATTCGATTTTGTTGATTCTCTTCTGTTCGCCCTGGGAAGAAATCCCACCGTGGTGACATCACCACTGTGCTGCCTCCACAAAGTGGCTTGCATCACCTTCCTCAGGGGCTTTGGGGAAAAGGGGCACAATGAGAGCCCTAGTCCGGGCAGAGCTTAGGGAACCTGGGGTATCAGGTGAGCAGTGTTAATGAATCCTTGGTTTTATGGGTATTTAGACGGCTCTGGAGAATTGAGCCTCTTTAGAACAAAGACTTTAAAAACTTCAGTAAAAGTACCTGGAGTTTGCTCAGTTTTAAAATGTGATGTGTGTGCGCCATTGGAGGTTTGGTGTCCACAGTAGGCTTCACTGGGAGACAAAGAACATCGTTATATCACAGGATCCTAACAGCTTTGGAAAACCACCAGGCCACCAGGCCCCAACCACTGAACATTCCACCTTTGAATTCTAACAGAGATCTGGTCTAGCAACTTCAATTAGGTGTAATTTTCCCATCTGACATTTATGGAAAATTTGAACTGAGACAACTGAGTAGTGAGGGCCAGAAATTCCATAGAGATGGGTAGGGAAGCAGTTCGGTCAATAAAGTGCCAGTCACTCAGCCCACCAGAGACTCTGGGTTTGATCCCCACCCCCTCCACTGCCTAACAAAGTGGTGACATGCAGGCCTGTAATACCAGCATTCCAGAGGAAGAAGCAGGGCCACCAGGACTTCAAGCTCGTCCTTGACTTTCAGCCAGGTCCTGCCCCACCTGGCTACGTGAGCCCATCTCAAAATTCATTTCCTTTCAGTCTAATGAAATGACATTTTTTCTATCCCTTCCCAGCAGTGCTAGATAGTCTTTTGGGCACTGCGCTCATGCTATCTGACTTTGGCTCTACGGAGTTTAAAAATGGATCCTTTCTAGCACACAGATGCTTGGGTAGAAGATAAACTGCATCACTGATCATAATGTCCTCTTGGCCAAACTCAGGAAGTTTGGTCATATTACCCCAAAGCTGGGACTAGTGTAGTCTCCTGTTACTGCCTTTTTGGTGGATCCTTTTAGAACTTCAAGAGGCAATGCCCACTGCCCACATACCGATTTGTACTCTATTCTTGTGCAGTATGTAGTGGCCAAAGTCCAGTTTCTTCCTGAAGGTTGTGCTTTGTCTATGGTTAGAGACGATAACAGGGTAGGCCAGGTAATCCAGGGAATTGTTCATCTTCTCCTCCTAGTCTCACTTCAGAAATAAGATGACTGGACTCTGCTGTGAGGCACTTAGTTGTCCCTATGACAGAGTGTCATAGTTACCTGGTTATGACATCAGGGACAAGTCTCAGTGGAGGAATAGGAGAAGAGCATGTCTAGCTGTCTCTGGGCACCTAAATTTTTTTAAATTTTAAGTTGAGAGAAAATTTCTATATGTTGATGGGGTGTGGAATAATCCGGTACTTATATGCCCCGTGTTATGATTGGATCAGGGTAAGTAGCGCCTCTCTCTCCTTTCAAGCATTTACAGTTCTGTGCTGGACGTTTGGGTTTGTGCTAAGTCTTTGAAGCTCCCCACCTGCCTGGAAAGTTGATGTTGCAAGGCTGGAGGGGAAAGGAAATGTATGGTGTGGATGTCCCTGGCTAGCATAGGCAGGCACCCAGGGAGGGAGGAATTCCAGCCCTCATTATTGCCCTTTGCACTATAAGCTTTCCTAGGGATGTAACCGTGGGTGGTGAAGGCAGGAGGATCAAGTTCAAAGTTATCCTTGGTTATATAGAAAATTAAAAGCCAGCCTGGGCTACATGAGACCCTGTCTCAAAACCCTGTATGGAAAACAAAACCAACCAAAAAAACCAAAACACACACACACACACACCAGAAAACAAACCTTAGTAAATTGGAAAAGTTGGACTCTGGATGTGAATTTCTGGATTCCAGACACTGTCTGGATTTACCGCTTTGGAGTTAGGGACTGCCATTTTCCATGGCAGCGCTGAAGAGAAGCTTTGATTAAAGTAAGCTACCCAGCCCTTTGCTGTCAGTGGAAACTCAGGAGAGGATCAGCTACTGACACCATGTGGTTCATAGTGGTGTGGCAGCTGCTTCAGGAAGATCTGTAAAGGAGGGCACGGAGGATAATGTACCCCCGAATCTCCCCAGAGCGCACTAGCCCAGGGCTCAGACCCCGTGAGTGCTCGAAATATTCAGTGATAAGTGCTTCTGGTACCGCTATGCCTGTTTATTCAGTGCCGGGAACTGAACCAGAGCTTTGTGCATGCTAGGTACCTACTCAGCCCCTTGAATGTTTCTGGAATCTTTCCAGCAATCCTTAGAAGTTAGGTATTGCATATTCTGTACTGCAATGCTCGGGGTTTTAGAATATTTTAACATTTATAATGCGATATTTAGGTAATATCTAAACTTGAAATTCATTAACGCTTCACATATAGTTTTATCCTGAATATGATTTTCTACAGTAATTTTTAGTGCACCTGTGTTTTGGCTGTCATCCGTCACATGTCAGGTGTGAGAATTTTCCACTTGCATTATGTTTACACTCTAAAGCTGTAGATTTGTAAACACTTCGGATCTCTAAAATTATGGCTGCTCATGCTATTATTGTGACGCCGTAACCCCCTTCTCCCTTTTATTCGCCAGCAAACAGGCTAAGATTAAGTAATCCCCCAGGGTCAGCGGCCAAACTTGGCGACCTGAAGCCCTATCTTTAAAAACTCAATGCTGATTCATAACGAACATTGAAAGAAGTATCTTTGCGTAGGGCTGGCTTCTTAAACCCTGTGACCTTGGGTAAAAGAGCCATCTCCTGGGGTGGGGAATTTGTTCAGCAGGTGTTGGGAAGATGTGCTCTGGCATGTGTCTGCTTGCGGTGAGAGAATGGATGCCAAGGCTGCTGGTTTGCAGCCAGAAGGGGGTTCACAGCAAATGCCAAGGGTCTCTGTTATCCTGAAAGAGCTACAGCAGGTGTAGCCCCAGGCGTCGGGTTCTAAAGGAAGTGCCCGAGCTCGCTTGCCTCAGCCAGGGTGAGAGAGAGAGGACCCGCGACACGGGAGTGACAACATCTCGGTCAGGAACGCGCCCCAGGGTCCTGCGGCACGTGGGCCGGTCGCGCGTGTCCTCTGTGCTGCGCAGCGCAGCGCAATAGCGCTCGGCAGCCGCAGCTTCTCGCACCCGGCGGGCCCGCCTCCGGGGCGGGACGGGGCGGTTTTGTTGGGCAGCCCCACCCCACTGACCCGGCTTCTCCCCTGGCTCACTCCTGCCCCGGCGTGCAGGGCCCCGCCGCCGCCATGTCTGGCTCGTTCGAGCTCTCGGTGCAAGATCTCAACGACCTGCTCTCAGACGGCAGCGGCTGCTACAGCCTCCCGAGCCAGCCCTGCAACGAGGTCATCCCGAGGGTCTACGTGGGCAACGCGTGAGTCTCTGGGAGGGCCAACTCCGTAGCCGCTCCCCGGGCGCCCCGCCCACTCGGGGGCTGGAGTGGGGTTCAAGGGCGTGGATGGGGGCGGGGGGAACCTGGGTGCGGTGGACGACCTGGGAGCAAGAGCTGGGGGGGCTGGGGGCCGGGCTGGAGTCGACACCCACTCCCTGCGCGTGAAGCCGAGGGGCTGGACCCTGCATGTCCTGAGACCCGAAGCTGCCCAGCCTTGCTCCCCGGCCACCACCCGCTCTGGCTTTCCCTTAGGCGGGGTCGAGGCTACCACGTTCTCTTAACAGGTGGCAGGGCTGTCTCTTGGCCGTGCGTCATGTGACAGCTGCCTAGTTCTGCAGTGAGGTCACCGTGGAACGTCTGCCTACGTTGCCATGGCAACGGAATGACGTTACAATCCGGGTGTGGAGCTTTTCCTGTCCGTGTCAGGAAATCCAAATACCCTAAAATACCCTAAAAGAGGAAGTTGCTGAGCCTATTCTTCAGATAGGATTTGACTTGGATGGGATAGATAAAAATGTTAAACTCCATGGAAGACCTGAGTCATCTGAAAAGTCCTCCAAATCGCACCATCAGGAAATGTGTATATTATTGATCTCTTATTTGTCCTCCTAAAAACAAAGTTTTTTTTTTTTTTTAGTTATACTATTACTAAGAATTTCTCAGCAGTAGGAGAGAATTAGTGTTAACATTGACAGAAAGGCTGACGTGGTCCACGTTGGGAGAATGCCCACGGTGTATTTTCATGAGTGTGAAAACCCGTTTATGAAATTCCTAAGCTCTGTGGGTCAAGTTCAAGGACTGCATTTCAAAACTGATAACCAAGCTTCCCTCTCATTTTCACACAATAGGAAGTGGTGGCCTGGGCTGGTTGAGGGGTTGTGAGGACTTCTCATTGTTTTACCTGTGTGTTTCTTGTCCTGAACCTAGGACCTGCTGCTTAACCTACAGTGGATCCAGAGAGGGTCCACATGGAAGGTCCCAGACACCTGGGGGCAGGTTGTATGCATTGCCTCACTCATGTCCATATGGAGCACCTATGTGTAACACACTACGCGGTGTTCATTCACTCACAATGGTGGTCATGGTGATGATAATGGTGTACTTCTTGACTGTTGGATTCCCATTAGGAAAAGGAGATACATAGGCACTCTATTCTGTATTTCAAAAGTCAGCACTGCTGTGCCGTTTTGCTCAGTATCTTGAATGGGTCAATCTTGATGCTCAGTCATTGCAAAGTTTTAGGGAACCCCTACCTCTCCTCCCTACCCCAACCACCCAAGTTGCCAGGAGCCTGCTTCCTGGGGGATAGCTGTCTGTGGCAGCTTCTTTAGGCTGGAGGTAGCCATAGTGACAGGTATGATGGCTGCCATGAAAAACACATTCTTTGCCCTCTATGCAAATCTGACCTTGATATGGATGGTGCCCAGCTGGGAGGACCAGCTGCTTACCTACTGCTGCGAATTGGGCTTCCTCACCCACTAGGAGCTCCTGGACAAAAGGGCTTCAGCCACATTCTCTCAGGGTGGTGAGGGAGTCTGTGTAAGCTGCATTTCCCATCTTTGGACTTTATAGGTGGTGTGGGTGTGAGGCGCAGAGGGAGGTAGGAGGCAGAGCAAGGCTGAATGTCTGGAGAACGTGTGCCTCCCAGCTCTGACTCAGCAGCCCACGTGAGCACATGTGCCTGTCCTGTCCTGCAGTTTCTGCTCTGTTCGCTGGGGACAATTCTGTCCTCTCCTTTCAGCTGCTGTAACAGGCAGATAGGACTATGCAGGAGACACTGATTTGTGAAGTTACAAACTCCTGTTTAAATTGGGACCTTGTGAGAGGAAGTGAAAGACCTCTTTCAGCATTCAGTCAAGATACCTTTAACTCCCATCGTTTTTTGGGGAGTTGGGGGGGGCTACTTGCTCTTAAGTACTAAGGCATTCCAGAGAGCTCCAGAAATGTCCCTAAGTATGGCAGGATTGATCCTTCAGGGAACCTGACATGTGACAGTTTCATTCTTCACCCATTCACCATGTGTCAGGCACTGTAGCAGGTACCAAGGGGACAGGAACTCAGACTGAAGTTCTGAACAGATGCCATGGGATATAAACACCACAGAGTCAAGTTCTGTCAACAGAACATCCCCCTTAACACCAAAGACTACCCCTAACTTGGCACTTTTATCCCCATTTAACAGAAAGGAAATCTGAGACACAGAAAGGCTAAATGGCTTGCTTAAGGTTGCCTGGCCCGTAAATGGCAGGGCTGGGTTCAGATCTAGGCGCTCTGACTCCAGGGTCTATATTTCTTTTGTTTTGTTGTTCGAATCTGGGTCTTACTGTCATGATACTTATCCCGTGGCCTCCTGGGTGCTAGAATTACAGCTGTGTGCTACCGTGCCTGACTCTATAGCTTGGCTATACCATCACCACAGTATAGGAACTGTGATGCACACACAGTAGTAGAAGGAGCTGGGGAAATCCCACAGAGGGCTCTGCAAGAGAGGTGATGCCTCCTTCCACGGAGGCAGCAGAGTGATCAGTGTGGGCATAGATAGAACCACAAATCTATTTGGGGAAGCTGCTGGTAACTGGATATGGCTGGGGTGAGGGGAGAGGTCATGAGATGAGGCAGGAGGAGCCACAGGGGACAGTGGGCACAGTCCCCTTGCTTTGTCTCATTTTCCTCACCCAAGGCTGCCTCCCATCCAGGTCTGTGGCTCAGGACATCTCCAAGCTGCAAAAATTAGGCATCACCCACGTCCTGAATGCCGCTGAGGGCAGGTCCTTCATGCATGTCAATACCAATGCCAACTTTTACAAGGATTCCGGCATCATCTACTTGGGCATCAAGGCCAATGATACGCAGGAGTTCAACCTCAGCGCCTACTTTGAAAGGGCAGCAGACTTCATTGACCAAGCCTTGGCTTACAACAACGGTAAGGGACTTACAGCCAGGGCTCATAGGAGGTGGCTTTGACTTGGGCTAGCCTAGAAAGCAGATCTCTACAGGTCTTCCTTTGGACATTCTGTCGCTTCCTGTCCCCGTGGTGATGACTGAGCACTTTGACTCTGTCTGTCCGGCAGCTCAAGTGGCCTGGCTACACAAGCAGCTCAACTTTCCCACAGTGGCAGCACCAGGGGCCTTGTCTTTAGTTTGACTTGGGCAGAGGGTGGTCCCCAACCACCTACCCCTCGGCCCCAACTCAAACACCTGTGATAATGACAAAGGTTTACTAATGTCCAGGGTGCGAAGCCCTGAGGTGAAGGGACACTGGTTGATCCAGCGGTGCAGCGGATCTTGTCACCACAGTTTATATTAGTTACATTTACATGAGCGTGACCAGGGTAAGTGAGAGAAAGAGGACAGGCTTCTACACTGCCAGGGGGGTTTGGTCTGTGGGGAGCCATTTCCTGTGTGCACAGACAAAATGTCAGGACAGTGGAAGTGGGGAAGTGACTGTGTGTCCTTCCTCTGGGACCTGCTTCCCCCAAAGAGGCCCCACCTGAGAACGTTCCCATAAACATTCCAAATTAGCGCCACCAGCTGTGGGTTTATGGGGGCCATTACATAGAGTTTATGTATTCCATAGACAAAGGATGTAATATTCCAGACGTGCACGCTGCAGCAATTAGGCATCAGTGCCTCTTTTCTTTTCACTTAGTGTGCCCATTTGTGTGTGTGTGTGTGTGTGTGCATGTATGTGTGTGCATGTGCGTGTGTGCGCACAAGTGCTTGGACATGTTTATGTCTGTGTGTGTGTGCACACATGCATGTGTATGTGCTTGTACATGTCTGCATCTGTATACATGTGCATGTGTGTGGGTGCATGCTTGTGTATGCGTGTGTGCACATGTGCGAGTGCTTGTACGTGTGTATGTCCTTGTGTGTATGCACGTGCACATGTTTACATGTGGAAGCCAGAGGTGGTACTGAATGAACATGGTCTTCAATCGGTCTCCACCTTAGAGACAAGGTGTCTCCCTGATCCTGGAACTCATTGGCTTATCTAGGCTGCTGACCAGTGAGCTCCAGGGACCACTTTTCTTTACCTCCCTAGGCCTGGGAGGTGCATGCTGCTGTGTCTGCCTTTTATGTGGGTGCTAGGAATCTGAACTTAGGTGCTTGCTTCTGTTTGAACAGCATGAAGACTATGCCATGTCCCTAGCCTGTTTCTTTCCTTCTGAGTATTAAGTGAACCATTCCCCAGAATTCCCCTAGTAGCCATGACCAGCTGAGGGTCTGCAGCCTGGAGTCTTCCTGCCACTTAGTCCCTGCAGTTGCAGACAAAGTGGAGCTGAAGGAGGACTGCCTAGTGGTTAGACACAACATTGGAAGGTAAGTCCTAGAAGGCGACAGGGCAGAGGTCAGCAGGGCAGACTGGCTTTCCGGGCTCTTCCCGTCACATCTCCTCCCCTCTGTAGGGAAGAGGTGACCTCATTTGTGTTACATAGAGGCTTCCTGGCCCAGCAGCTTCCCTGCCCAAGTGATTCTAAAGACAGCTTCCTACCCCCTGGATGCTCACTCAGCACATATTCCGGGCTGGCAGAAGTCCTGTTGTCTAGGAAAACTTCAGACTTTAAGGGCAGGGCCGTAATGGTCCTTCATGGCCCCTGTCACAGCAACCCCAGCCCCTTCCCTCCAGGTGCCCTACACTTCTCAGTCTGGATAGATGGAGTGGCAACAGGGGTTCTGGAGTGTTCTGCCTTTATTTCCTCTTTCTAGACGTCAGGGAATGTGCCCTGGCTTGTTTTGACGTCTTGCTTTGATATGGGTAGACTGAATCTTTGACCTGGAATGTTTTTTGCCTGTTTCTCCTCATCCCCTGGCAAACTCTACCTCATACCTAACCATTAGATGTAGTGTCCTCTTTTTTATGAAGTCTGCCCCCAGACTGGTTCACGAGGACCAGTGGTGTCCCTGGTCTTGATCCAGCAATTGATATAGCAATAGGTATGTTCTACAGTGGGTTCACTGTAGGTAATTTCCGAACAAGCAGAATATATCCCAGGACTTTGGTGCCTTGTTAATGGATACTTGTACTACCAAATGGATACTGGGCTCCAACCACTTGCAGGAACAGGAATCTGTTGCTAAGAAACCCAGAAGTTGGAAGCTGGGGAGGTATTTCAGCAGGTAAAGCACAATTGGTGCCCAACCATGAAGACCCGAGTTTGGATTTCCAGAACACACATAAAGTCTGGGTGAGTGTAGTTATCTGTTTGTAATCCTAGCACCCAGGAGGCAGGTACAGGGGATCCTAAGAGCAAGCTGGTTAGCCAGACTAGCAAAACACCAAGATCTGGGTTCTGAGCGAGGTCCTGCCTCAGTATATAAAAGAGAGAATAAATAATTGAAGAAGACATCAGATGTCAACCTTGAGCCTTCACTTGCACACACATATATGTGCATTTAGACACATATATGGACTCACACATATGTGAACAGGCATACACACTCAGGCATATCACACACATAATTTGAGAGAGAGAGAGAGAGAGAGGAGGAGAGAGAGGAGAGAGGAGAGAGAGAGAGAGAGAGAGAGAGGAGAGTGCACACTAGAGCTCACAGGAAAGCACAAAGAAGCCCACACATGCACATGCATGCACAGGGACACAGGCACATATATGCCAGGGAGTGGGGAAGGAGCCTGGGTTTGTGTAGGAGAAGGAGGAATCACCTGTTTCTGAGGGGGTCTAAAGAGGCTGTGAGAAGGAGGTACTGTGTGTGCTGGGCCTGGAGCATGGTAGACTCTGTACCCTGGAGATAACTGAGAATGCTCTCAGTAGGGTGTGGGTGGTGGCTGCCCTGCAAAGGGTTACTGTCGGACCAGGACAAGCCACATTGAGGACTTTAGGTAATAACCAGAGAGAGAGAGAGAGAGAGAGAGAGAGAGAGAGAGAGAGAGAGAGAGAGAGAGAGAGAGAGAGAGAGAGAGAGTGTCAGGAAAGTGGGGGGACTCCCATCTCCTGATGCAGGAGGATCTAGGGAAATAGAGGAGCATTTGGGGGTAGGGTGATGGGTGCAGAGGAGATGCTGTTAGTTCTGGGGCCCTGGTTTCCTTCCAAATGATGCTGGTGAAGTTCTGTAGGTGGTGGCTATTCACTCGCCCAGCAACAGAGGATACCCGGGGATGCTGCAAATGGTAGAGCATCCAAATCCAGCGCCACACCCTTGCTTTGGAAGAATGAACCCCCTTCAGAAGGAGAGTGGGTCTGTATGTGGCCAGGTGCTTGGGGCCCCTGGGGGACACCCAGTACGGGTGATGTTTATTGAGCGCTCTTGTGTGCCAGGCACTAGCCTGGGGCTTTGTCTCTGTCTCTGCTTTGTTTTGCTTTTGAGACAAAGTCTTGCTATGTGTCCTGACGATCTTGGAGCTCACTCCCAGCCAGGGGTAGGGTGTCAAGAGGCCTCGTAAGGCGCACTTCAGAGACTAGATCCCACCCTGCATAGGGTGACAAGTCAGAGGGGTGCTCCCAGAAGATTTTCTAGCTTCCAGATGGAGTATGGATTGGCAGTGAGTGGTGAGGGTAGAGGGTGAGCTCCGTTTGTGGGAGAGGAGGCTGGGGAGGCGCAAGTGAGAGATGGCAAACACGTGAGTCAAGTACTGTGTGGTGAGCAGGTGGCTGAGGAGAGGCTGGATTTCTGCTCTTCCTGGGGGTGGTGCTCCCTGCAATGGGATGCAACTTTCCTGACGATGACCTTTGGCCCCTCCGTTCCTGTCTCCCTCCCTTGCCCCCCATCATTGCTCTCCCTGCCCTGCGGAATTCTGAGTTTACATTTCACTAGAGATGAAGGAATGAAGAGACAGAGACAGAAGACAGGAATGTGGCAATGGGAGCGGCTTATAGTCTGCAGGAAGTAGGCAGGAAAGGATGTGTGCTGTGGGCTGCGGGCAAGGTGGGATACAGAGACAGGGAGAGGAGGGGCCGGTGGAGTGAGGACAATTTGGGGGAGTCACAAGAGGACATTTGTGTGTATTGTGCTGTTTGTATTTGTATTGGAAGTCCATCCTTTTTTTTTTAACATTTGTGTATGTGTGTGTGTGTGTGTGTGTGTGTGTGTGTGTGTGTGTGCATGTGCGCGCGCCTATATGTGTTATCTGCACAGGTGTGTAGGAGCTCTCAGAGGCCAGAAGAGGGCATCTGATCCCTTGGAACTGGAGTTATGGAGGGTTGTGAGCTGGCTGACAGGTTTGCTGGAAACCAAACCCAGGACTTCCCTAAGCGCAGGAAGTGCTGTCAACTGCTGAGCTCTGAAATCCATTCTTTTAAAATGTGCTTTTCAGGGATATAATTGGCATTCAGGGAAGTGTATTATGTATTTAATGTGACAGTCATTAAAATTTTGATGCAAGCAAAGCCATAAAGCTGTCACTATAACCAAGATGGTAGATATGTCCATTACCTCCACATTTTTCATGTCCCTGTGTAACATCTCCTATCCCTTCCACATTCCATTCTTAAGCACCCCTTGGTCTGCTTTCTGTTACCAGAGACCAGGGTACATTTCACAGACTTTTATGTCAACAGAATTACACAGCATGCACTCTTTTTTGGTCTGGTTTCTTTCACTATGAATATTTGAGTTTCATCCATGCTATTATATACACCTATAGTACATTATTATTATTATTATTATTATTATTATTATTATTATTATTGGTTTTTCAAGACAGGGTTTCTCTCTGTAGCTTTGTAGACCAGGCTGGCCTCAAACTCACAGAGATCCACCTGCCTCTGTCTCCCAAGTACTGGGATTAAAGGTATGAGCTACCAATGCCCAAAATATATTACATTTTTAAAAGATCTCTATAAACACAATACCTAAACAAGAGGAGAAATATAAATAACAAAACTGACCTATACTTGTATCAATAAATCAAAATCCATTCCAATACAAAGTATTCATTTTTTCTTTTCATTTTTTAAGATTTACTTATTATGTATAGTGTTCTGCCTATATGTATGCCTACAGGCCAGAAGAGGGCACCCCATCTCATGGATGGTTGTGATCCATTATGTGGTTGCTGGGAATTGAACTCAGGACCTCTGGAAGAGCAGCCAGTGCTCTTAACCACTGAGCTACCTCTCCAGCCTCACAAAATATTCATTTCTATCTCATATCCCCCACATTTTTTAAAGAAACAAATTGCCTATAATCATTAACCATTTATAACAAACCCTGTATAAATGAAAACAAACATTTATAAACAATATTTGGGATTTTGGGTGTCATTCTCTCCAAACTACTTCCTGCTGTTCAGGGGTGCTGAAATACCATGGTGATCCTTAGAAAACACAGAAACCTGGCCAAATCCTGTCTGTCATAGTCTGCAAGGCTACATTCTCTCAGCTGTTTTGGATGCTGGGTCATCTGGGCTATTGCTTCATGGGGTCTTACTTAGTCAAATCATATTAATCTGGAAGGAATCCACAGCTTTTCACTTTCTGTGGAAACAAAAAAAGAAACTCTTTTCCCAAGTAACCTGTCCTTACACTTAAATGTAGAAGTCAAAGCATTTTCAAAATATATAGGTTGAGTAAGTGCAGCAGCATTTATAATCAAATATCTTTTAGAAGTTGTTGCTCCTTCCTCTCCAATCAAAAAATTCAAAGATAGCACAATAACATACAGTAGCCAGACTCTCTGTGTATTTTCCATTTTAATGTGGCTTACTTTATTACTCTATTTCTTTTTTCTTTTCTGAGACAGCGTTTCTCTAAATTTTGCCTGTCCTGGAATTCACTCTGTACACCAGGCTGGCCTTGAAATCACAGAGATTTGCTTGCCTCAGCAAATCCTACAGGCGTATACTACCACAAACAGCTACTCTATTCCTTTTTAAATCACTTATCTTTTTTTCTTTTCTCTTCTAAGCCTTATATTTTTAAACACACTGTAGATCCTTTAGAGGTTTTTATTTTTCTCTCTGAATATGTCTTTACTGTATGTCTCTATCTTTTTCTGGCCATGAGTCTTACTCGGCTAAACACCATGGCAAAAGAGCCATGCGGTGGTTTTGCTGCTTATATGAGTCAGGAAGCCTCCATTAAAGTAGCCACAAGCATCTGCTTGCCTCTGGCAAATGGAGCTCACCTGAGGTTTGTTTTTAAAATCCCTTTTTAAATTTTTGTCAGGTTCTGTGTGGAAGTTTATGAAAACCACGTTGCTGGCACCATTTTGTTGCGGCTAGTTCTGTCCCACCAGCCTGGTCCCACAACTGCTTCAGCCCCAAATGAACACTCAGAGACTTGTATTGAGTATAATACTATTGGCCAATGACTAGGGCTTATTACTGGCTAGCTCTGTCTTAATTACTAATCCACTTCCATTAATCTAAGTATTTCCATGTGGTCTTACCTTACTTACAGGAGAAAGGTCCAGGGACCTGTTACTCCTCCGACATCCTACATGGCCACTGACTTCTGCCTACACTTCCCAGAATCCTCATCTCGTAGACCCACCTATCTTGCTGCCCTGTTGGCCACAGTGTTTTATTCATCAACCAATAAGATAAACATATTTACAAAATGATATCTCCCATCAGCAATGAGCTGCCCAGTGTGGGTGTTGGGAACCAAACTTGGATCTAAAACAAGTGTTACATTGTATGGATACACATAGCATATTTTGTTTATCTTATTGTGTACATTGTTTTGTTCTAAAACAGAGTAATATTCTATAGCTAGAGCTGGCCACTTGCTATCCTCCTGCCTTAGCCTCCTGAGTGCTAGGATTACAGTCATGTGGTACCATACCTGGTTTCATGTTTTGCTCTTGACTGAAGGATAAAATTCATTTAGAGAAGTTTGATATCACATAGTATGCAGTTCAGCAAACGACAGACAACCATATACCAACCCCCAGATCAAGAACCAAAACACAACCAGCACCACAGAAATCCCGCTCCATGCTTCCTGCCATCTCTCACCCATACTGCCAGGTTACCACCGCTCAGGCTTCTAAGAGTATGCTTTAGTTGGACCTCTTATATCTGTGCTTCATGCATGTTCTTTCTGGTAAGTTGCATGCTACTCCATTTTTTAAACATTTATTTAGTGAGTGCATATGCATGCATGAGTTAGGGGTGGACATCAGAGTACAACATGCAAGGGCCACTTTTTCCCAGTCACATCAGTCCCAGGGGTTTGAACTCAGGTCCTCAGGCTTAGCAACACATGCCTTTACCTAATGAACCATCTCCTGTTCTTCTCTTTGAGACAGGGTCTCATTCTGCAGCCTAAACTGGCTTTGAACTTCCAGTGACTCCTGCCTCAGCCTCTTAGAGTACTGGAATTACAGATGTGTACCACCACTTCTGACTAGATCATTAATTCTTTATTATTTATTTATCACACACACACACACACACACACAGGAGGGGGTAAAGGGATGACTGTACTGGGCATGTGTGTAGAAGTCAGAGAACAACTTCTAGAAAGTTCTCTCTATCATGTAGATTCCAGGGTTTGAACTCAAGTCATTAACTTTGCATTGAGCCCCTCCACCCACTGAGTCTTCTTACTGGCCTTACCTAGATCATTAATTTTTTTTAAAGACTCATATTATTTATCCACTCTGCTGTTGGGAACTTCCACTTGGGGGCCACTATGAATAGTGCTTCTAAGACACAGAAGACATAAGAATACCCAGGTCCCTGTCTTTCAGTGAAGGTGTATGGGTTGGAGTGGCACAGCTGGGTAGTAGGGGGCACAGGTGTGCAGCTTGAGTAGATGGTGCCAGTTTTCCATGGTGGGGGCCTCTTCACGCCCTGCTTCCCTAGTGATGGAGAAGAGTACCAGCTGCTTCACATCTGTCTCTGACCAACTTTTGGTCTTTCATTCTTAATATTTTGGCCATTCATGGTGAGACAGCGGCATGGCGATGCACTGTCTCTACTTGCTGTATGGAAGAATTTAAGTATTACGGTGAGTTTGGGCTTCCCCAGTTACCACATCTCCCCTGTTTCTTGCAGGCCGGGTGCTTGTCCATTGCCGTGAGGGGTACAGCCGCTCCCCAACACTAGTCATTGCCTACCTCATGATGCGGCAGAAGATGGACGTCAAATCTGCTTTGAGCATTGTGAGGCAGAATCGTGAGATCGGCCCCAATGACGGTTTCCTGGCCCAACTCTGCCAGCTCAATGACACACTAGCCAAGGAGGGCAAGGTGAAACTCTGAGGTGCCCACAGCCTCTCCTGCAGAGGTCTGACTGGGAGGCCCCGGCTGCCACGCTTAGGAAACACAGTGTACCCTGCTCCCAGTGTCACAAGGCACTAGCCCATATGTCTGTCCCATTGTGGCCCCGGGCCGCTCCACCCTTAGGGAGCATTTGAAGAAGCTTGCTGAGGAGGCCTTTCTTGCTCCTTGGCGATCCTTTCCTGCAGTTTATGTCCTTTCCCTGAGGTGGGGGCTCAGGGAGGAAGCCTGTGGCATAGATACATCTCAGTGACCCAGGGCAGGAGGCCTGTGAGGGTTCAAGGGCCTGAGCCACTCACGGGCTCTCCTGGTGAACCCCTCCCCACCTGGGTTCCCCTGAGTGGCCTAACACAGTGACCCTGCTACAGGATTTATGCACATGCAGGCTCTGCTTTCCTCACGTCTGTCACTGGTCCTCACAGCCCACCACACCCTCTTAGGCAGAGGTGTGACAAGAGTTCTGAAGCAGCGTAGAGATGGGTTATTTGTGGCTGGAGTTCCCCAAAGAGGCTGCATCCCCAGTATTTCCTTAGAATCAAAGATACTATGCAGGGGCCCTTGGGTTAGCACATCAGTTTTTCCTTTAGGGCTCTCCTGATTCTTTGGAATGTTTAAAGTGCGCCTCTTTGGGGATCTTACGTTATCTGCTGCTCCGGTGCCTTCCCTGTGGATGGCTCTACTCCTTTGCTTGTTAGAAGAGCAATGCCTTGGGCAGGGTTTTACTTCTATTTTTTAAGAGTACAGGGTGTTGAGGTCCAGCCTATTAAAGCAACAACAACAACAACCAAAAAAAAAAAAAAAAAAAAAAAAAAAAAACCCAACCCACCATTCGGAGAATTGCAAGGGTTTTATCCTGAATTATAGTGTGGGTGAGCCCAAGCCATCATACTAACTGCTTGTCATCCTGGTTGCTATTCTAAGAATAGGAGGAGGAAGTTGGCCAATTACAGATCATGTTGGTGGGTGTGTGCATGGGTGTGAAGGGGGAAGGGGGCTGTCCCCTCGGGGACAGAAGGGAAATGAAGGGTCCCTGTGTTCACCCTGCCCATTTATGGGTGGTTCTGATGGTTCTGTGGTGTCTGTGCAGGAGCCCTGCAGTGACTCGCTGGGCAGAAATGAGACTTGATGTATTATCCCAATAGACCTCTCCTTTATTGGAGAGAGAGAAAACAAAGAAATAACCTTTTAAAGGACTTTCTAAGGATGGCTTGGAAATGTGCTGGACCTCATGTGTGTACATATCTGCCAGAGATTGAACACAATCTTCTTGGGACTTTATGTTCTTGTATCCAGGGTCATACAGAGCAGAGTGGTGGCACTTAGCCAGCACCCCAGTACCTAGCACATGGGCATCTCATAAAACCCTGTTTTTATGAGAACTGGAGCTGTTTGAGTACCCCGTGTGTATAACGTGTTGTCATGGGGCACCCGGATCCCAGCAGCCTGCATGCCATAGGATATCTTGCCAGAGTTTGCAAAGAAATCTTACTTGGAGAGAAAGAAATATCAGGGACTTTTGTTGAATGTTTCAAGTTCAGCTTTCAGTGGAGAACTCAGCAGTATGGACAGTGAGGAGTGTGCCTTTTCCAGAGCTGCTGAGCCTGGGGAAGCAGGTGCATCTCAGGGCCTCACTCCCGGGGTAAAAGCAGGGGCAGAGCTGTGCAGCCTGGATTTTCACTGTCTCCTATCCTGTGTGATCACAGCAGCCCTAGACACATGGGACCATTCATCTTCTTTTTCCAGAATGAAACGGCCATAGCCAAACTGTGTACCTCACTCCATAATTTTCAAGTGGCTTTCTTGATTCTTCTGATTTTCATTTCATAATAACCCCGTAAAGTTGACAGAACTTACCTGTGTGTTGTTATGAGAGAAAAGCAAAATAAATAAATAAAAGTTAAATTAAATTAAAAAAAACCATCTGGGGTAGCAGGGCCTGGTAGCACGTGTCTACAGTCCCAGTTCATGGAAGTCAGAGGCAGGAGGATCACTGCAAGTTCAAGTCCAGTGTGGTCTCAATGTTGAGACTCCAGGCTACAATAGCAAGATCCTGTTTTTAAAAACCAAAAAATTCAGAATAATTAAGGGTCACCCAGGTCTCTAGGGATAAGTGGAAGTAGTTTCAGGACTGCTGCTTAGGAAAACTGGGCTGCCCTTGCCTTTGTCGCCTCTGAGACAAGCTCCCAGTGATGTTCAAGTGCTCTGCACGCCTTTGAGCCATCCCCAGAGAAAGAAGTAGAAGATCGGCCCCTAATCAGTTAGGTGACACATGGTGACATGTGACAATGAACTCTGCTCTTGGAAGAGGCTGCGCTCCCCTTCTCCTGCCTTATCTGGATGCTGACCCCACAGGACAGCCAGTCACTTCCTTTGACTCATAAAAATAAATCCAGGTTGAAATTAAAATGTAAAATGGTTTCCTTCTGAACCTTCAGTAGGCTGACTGCCTTTCCAGAGGCAGGCTGTTTCCCCCGCCGTTCTATTATCTCGAGAACATAGGCCAACACCAGAGGAGGGAATTCTTTTGAGCCACACTAAGACTCTTTCGGGCTCCAACACAGAAGGTTAAGAATCCCCCCAGTTGGCCCTTAGCACACCCCTGGGAAATGGGCATGAGTAATACTGTTGTGACCAGCAGGTGGCACTGCAGCCTTTCCAGCCACAAGTTCACATAAAGATGCTTGTAGTATTAAGATGCTCAGTGTTTTAATCAAAATAAGCACCGATCTTAAACAGGAGGATAAGATCTTTCCTCATGGAACATTTTCTTTTTCATTAAAGTGGCATCAGACTGTCCTTCCAGATCGTGATTCTAATCTGATCTTAGAGGGAGTCTCAGGGTACAGAGAAGATTGGTGAATGTTTAGCTTATGTTGCTCTTAACCTTCTCCAACTGTTCGGGTAACTTGTAAGGAGTGATTTGATGGACAGAAAATGTTCAGGGGAACGGGAATGGTGGGATAAAACAGAATTGTCACCTGCGAAGCACAGGCAAGGACCTGAGTTCTATTCCTGCCATTGAGAGTGGGGGAGGAAAATTTAATCTCTATTGTATCACCAGTGTTAACACACTATAAAACTGTAACCAAAATAAATGTCTTATCTTAACAAGGAAAGCTGTTTTGTGTGTCTCTTCTTGTAGGTTTGTGTTTTTTATGTTTGATTTTTCTAACTTCTGTGGTGGTGCTGTTGTTTCTGAGGTAGGATCTCACGTAGCCCAGCCTGGTCCCAAAGTCCAGCTAAGGCTGGTCTTGAACTCCTGATTCTCTGACTTCTGCCTTCAAGTGCTAGGATTAAAGGCACATGCCACCATACTGGTACAGACTTTTTCTAACATCTAAGAATAATCCTCTGGGGTCTTGGAGAGTTGGCTTCTGAGAAGAGTTCATACTGCTCTTGTATAGGTCCCTAGTGTGGTTGCCAGAACCCATGTTGTGTAGGTCTCCAACCACTTATAACTCCAGGTCCAGAAGATCTGGCAGCTCTGCCTCCACTGGCGTCTGCACTTACAAGTACATGCCCACATACAGATGTACACATGATTAAAAATAAAATAAAAGTAAAAAAAAAAAAAACCTTAGCCGTTGGAGGTTCCAACCTGAAAAGCTGGCATACTGTATAAGTCCATGATAGTGCTCTGGCTAACACGAGACCTATGGAGACAGAAGAGAACTCAGTGTGTGCTAGGAGTTGGATGGGAGGAGAAGGGTGGGTGGGGAACACAGGGAACTTGGGCAGTAAAAATTCTTTGTAAGACTCTAATGAAGGATACATGCCTGCCATTGTACCCATATACTGGATAACTCCAGGGAATTTTTTTTTCCAAGACAGGGTTTCTCTGTGGCTTTGGAGCCTGTCCTGGAACTAGCTCTTGTAGACCAGGTTGGTTTCAAAGTCACAGAGATCCACTTGCCTCTGCCTTCTGAGTGCTGGGATTAAAGGTGTGTGCCACCACCGCCTGGCCAACTTCAGGGAATTATGTTGAATGGGGTGGGGGGAGGCAATGCCATGCATTGGTTGCGTCTGCATAACATTTTTTAATTGAAAAACTATGGAAGTCGAGGTTAGATTGGTGATTACCATGAGTTGGGTCTGGAAGAGGGAGGGTGATGGATGCAAGTAGACATCTTTGTAAAAGTGACAGAGTAGGCTATGGTGGCACGTACCTGGGATCTTAATAACAGCTGGGAAATAGATCTGGAGTTCAAGGTTAGCCTCAGCTAGCCTGTGGTACTTGAGACTCTGTTTCAAAATAAATAGTGAAATAAATAATGAAAGGACATCAGGTCAGAACCTTGGGGCCACAGAGCCATTGTTCATTTTAATTGTGGTGGATAGGCAAATATGTGATAAAATTGTATAGAAGTAAATAAATGAGCAAGGCTGGAGAGATGGCTCAGCCATTAAGAGCACTGGCTGTTCTTCCAGAGGACCTGAGTTCAGTTCCCAGCACCTACACGGTGCCTCACAAGCACCTATAGTGGGGTCTGATGCCCTCTTCTGGCGTACAGATATACATGCAGACAGAGCACTCATACCTAAACTAATACTTTTTTTTAAAGAAGAAGTATATGCGAGAAGTATATTGCCACAGTAGGTGCACACGTGGTGAGCACTAGGAAACCAGGGAGGGTGTGAGTAAGCCTGGTGCACTATGTGTCCTGGCTGTGGCGCTGTACTGACACCTTTGGTGAGCTGTTACCGTGGAGGGACACTGGGCAGAGAAGACATAAAATCTCTCTGAATTATTTCAAGTAATTGTCAACTTACAATTACCTCAAAATGTAAACGAGCAATTAAGAAAACCTATCCAGGTAGGGTGGTGTTTGCCTGTCACTGCACTTGGAAGGCTGAAGCAGGAGGACCAGGAATGTGAAGGAGCCTGAGTTATACAGCAAGGCCATCTCAAAAAACAAAGCAAGACCCCAAGCCAACTAAACAACAAACCCATTACACCACACAAGAATGTTGACTGCAGTCCTGCTGAGAACAAGAGGTCAGAAATACCCTCTAATCCCAGCACACAAGAGGCAGAGGTAGGTGGACTCTGAGTTTGAGGTCAGCTTGATCTACAGAGTGAGATCCAGGACAGCCAGAGCTTGTACACAGAGAAACCCTATCTTAAAAAACAAACAAAAGAAGAAAGACCCTATACTCCAGTCTAGGATCCACAGAGACCTGAGGTTTGACTCTAAGGCTGTTGACTGTTGCTTAACCTTGAGAAATGATAAGGTTTTTGTGTAAATATACACATCACTGACTTAACATCAAGTAAAAAGAACAGAAGGCAGGCACCACAGCAGGTTCTCAGAGCTATCCTGTGCCTGTTGGCTATCTGTTGACCGAGGATGATCCAGAGAGATGTGCTTTTAAGGAGCTCTTCTTCTCTGTACACACCCTTTTTCCTATTAACACTCCCTTAATCCCGAACCCGGCCACTCTCTGGTGGTTTCTCCTTTTATATCCAGCAGGTGGCAGAAGTGTTCCAAGAACTGGTTGTCATCTCCATCAGCAGATGGTGCTATTAGACCCATTCTGCATGTTCACAGGACCCCTGGCCAGGAACTGCCCTCTCTCAAGTCTGGAGTGAGTAACAGGCTGGCTCTCTGGCCCAGACAGGGTTAACAGTCCACATTCCAGAGCAAGGGAAAAGGAGACTGGAGGTCACAGACAAAAGGAGGGGGCAGCTTCTAACAACACCACAGCTCTGGTGTAAGAGATAGATCACCCCCAACAATAGCCACAGCTGTTTTCGTCTGCCCCGAAGGAAACTGACTTAGGAAGCAGGTATCAGAGAGGGCCCTTCCTGGAGGGACTTCTGTCTGCCTTGTAAAACTGTCAGAGCAGCTGCATTGATGTGTGGGAGATGGAAGATGAAAAGGAGGACACAGGCAGTTGGCCACAGATGGACAGGCCACTTACAAGTCGAGGCAGGTGGCAGAGCCCTACAGAAGCTGTGCAGGTGGAGGGCACTGATTCATTGCACAGTTAGCATACCAAGGCAGGGTGGACCATAGCCTTCTTCCCAGCCCTCTTCCAGGGCTGGGGCATCCTCCAACAATCTGTCTCAGTGAAGGCTTCTGCGGCCCATCCTTTTTTGCACCTTAGGTGTGAACCTTCCCACTCACACCCCTCCTTCTGCCTGTCCATGGCCCTTCTGCTACTGCCGGCTGAGCCAGCAACTCCTTTGGGCTTCTTTTGTGTCTAGACCAGTGGTTCTCAACCTGTGTGTTGACACCCCATGGGAGTTGTTGAATGACACTTTCATGGGGGTCAGCCACCCTAAGACCATGGGAATTATCAGATATTTACATTGTAATTCATAACAGCAAAATTCCATTTGTGAAGTAGCGATGAAAATCTATGGTCAAGGCCATCACAACATGAAGAACTGTCTTAAAGGGTCACCGTGTTAGGAAGGTTGAGAACCAGTAACTTAGATGTACCTGAGATGGCTTTCTAAAAATTACCTGTTTATATGTGTCCCTTGGAACATTCATCTAAGACTCAGAGCTGCTTATGAAAATATAATGAGAGGCTGGAGAGATGACTTGGTGAGTAAAACTGCATGTTGTGCAAGCATGAAGACCTGAGTTCAAATCCCTACCACCCATTTGGAAAAGTGGCCATGCATGCCTATAACCCCAGGATTGTGGGGGGGGGGGAACAGAAGCAGGTGGATCATGGGAGCCCACTAGCCAACTGGCCAGCCTAACCTAAGTGTCTCAGTAAGAGATACTGTCCCAGGGGATAACTTGGAGAGTGACCGAGGAGGACACATCTCCTCTGGTCTGTATACACCCACACATACAGGTATATTCTCACACTTACCACACACACACACACACACACACACACACACACACACATACACACATGCTCACAGAAAATGTAACAAGCTGAGAAATGATGGCACTGAGAAATGTCAACACTAAAAGGCCTGGCCTTGGCTTTTGCTAAGAAACGGGATTCTGGGTTGCCTGCCCCAGAGCTGGCTAGGGAAGGAACTGCCTTTGGCACATTAGCCTGTAAGCCACATTGATTCCCTGGCTAAGAATCACCCATGAGGGATCCCAGGTCCCAAAGGGTAGAAGAGATTTCCTCTTTGTGCCCCATCTCCAAGAGCCATGGTTACCCTCCACCTGTTGCCAGAATCCCTTCTCACCGATGGCTGTGGACTCTACTTCCCCCTGGTTTTAAGGAGAAAGCCAAGGGACTTTTGCTCAGAATCACCAGTGCTGAGCCATACGGAGTTGAGGCCAATGGGATTTCTTTAAAAGTGCTTACATAGCAAGTGTGAGATCCTAGGTTGGATTCCCCAGGATTTCCACCCCCCCCCCATAAAAAAGGCACCCTTCTGCTTGTGGGTGGGGAGTGGGGTGCAAACAGATACCTTTAATTAACACCATTAGCTGATGGGGTGACAAAGGAACGTGGCTAGAGGAATTTGGTCAGCTGAACTCTGCCTTCTGTAGAACGCCAAGCCCCACATGTTTCCTTTGTTAAGCTGGCCCACAGTTTGTTTTGAGAATGCCTGAGGGGCCCAGGGAGCCAGACAATTAAAAGCCAGGCTTATTTTGATATCTGAAAACCACAGCCCTCAGAATGTGGGAGGTGCTGGGAGAGCTGGCTCTGTCCTTGCCTCAACACCAACCCCCCCCCCCTTGGGTCACCTGGGAGCGCCAGCAGCAATTTGGAAGTTTGCTGAGCTTGAGAAGTCTTGGGGAGGGCTCACTCTGAGCACACCCCTTTCCCCTGGGGGGTGGTGAGGAAACATGGGACCAGCCCTGTTCCAGCCCACCCTTATTGGCTGGCATGAGGCAGAGGGAGCTTTAAAAAGGCGACTGTATCTAGGCTGGGGATTGGAGCCTGTGCTACCCAGTGCCCTCCTCTATCTGGTACCATGCAGCTCTCGCTAGCCCTGTGTCTTGTCTTCCTGCTTGTACATGCAGCCTTCCGTGCTGTGGAGGGCCAGGGGTGGCAAGCCTTCAAGAATGATGCCACCGAAATCATCCCTGGGTTCAGAGAGTACCCTGAGCCTCCCCAGGAGCCGGAGAACAACCAGACCATGAACCGGGCAGAGAATGGAGGGAGACCTCCCCACCATCCCTATGAC